TTTCAACCATATAATTTGGAGATGAGGCAAGAGGAACATTTTGTGATTCCTCTTGTAAAATGGTTGGGAATTGGAAACCTTGGCAATCTATATTGTACACCATGCAGAGATCTACTAGTAGTAACTGTTCTTTCTGCTCATTCTTGTATTATATTAGTGACAAAAGTATTTTTACATATATGCCAATTAGAGCAAGGCAGTTTTGTAAGCGAGTCCCATTGTGTTTGTGCCAGGGTGTTGAATCTGGCTGAATGGTGAAACTAATAGTCAACATGATGAGCTTATGTCATTACGTCTTCTAGAACTTGTATTTTAGGATTGTACTGCTCAGACTTGTTTTACTTACAGGTGCTTTTATGTTGTAAGTTGCTTGGCAGCACACATATTGTGAGGCAGATGCAGATAGTTTGCTCACTGCAAACAATATTATTGGAAGTGCTCACACAACTTGCGAGAAGTGTTTCATTTGCACGTTTTTCAGTTGGATGTAGTATAGTGTTCCTAATTGTTTTGCATGCATGAAGAATGCCAAGCTACAGCTGGAAGACATGGGATTTCTGTTTTGCCTTGGCAAGTTGTTAACATTCTTTAAAGGAAACCCTTCACACATTTTGAGATGGTCACATAAATTGTGGTTTCAGGGTGGCCAAAAGCAAGTCGTCTCTGAACTTTTTGTAGTTGCATAGAGGAGAAAATTTCAGTTTGACAAATGAATGTCAGTGAGATTTCTTCTTCCCATTGACGAGTCTCTCAGATGTTTTGGACTTTGACTTCCAAAATTCCTTCCTATAGATCAGTGGTTCTCAACCTGTGGGTCCCCAGATGTTTTGGCCTATAACTCCCAGAAATCCCAGCCAGTTTACCAGCTGTTAAGATTTCTGGGAGTTGAAGGCCAAAACATCTGGGGAGGGACCCACAGGTTGAGAACCACGGTTCTAGTTGAAGTCCAAAACACCTGAAGGGCAGAAGCTGGCCCCTGCCTGGTCCAAAGCCTGAAGGCACCTGGACTTATGTTTCTGCTCTTTTCATGGTTTTTAACATACTGTTTTGATAGGATGTCTGGGGCATTCTTCTTGGAGCAACAGAAGACAGCCAAAATAAAGCCATTAGGAAATAGCATTGAGACTACAGCTGCAACATGCAAAGAAATATAGCAGTGGAACAGAGGAGGCAAACACTGTTGCCTCTTGTTGGTCTTGTCATTGGCTGCCAAGGCCATCAGGACTTATGTGGTGACCCTGTGTTTGGGAGGCCTTCAAACCTTGGCTCCTACTCAGGACTTGGAAATGTCTCCCCAAAACCCCAACCTGAGACACAACCACCACCACCACCACCACCCCTCCACCCTCTGGCATGCTCACCTGCAGGCATAGAGCATGTTGGACATGAAGGTGACAGGGCTGGTGCTGCGAGAGGTGTCCATCACGTAAACCACCACCGAAGGGAAGGAGGAGGCCTGGGGAGGAGGCACCGGACAGCAGCGGAGTTGAGGGGTGAGCAAGTGGGCCAGGGAGCCCTCCCCACTGAGCCCAGTTGAGGCCACCCAGCCCTCCATCCACCTCTCTTTCTCTCACCCTCTCTCACTCACCAAGGCTTCCGTGATGATAGTCCCTGAAGCGGACCAAGTGAACACCTCAATCTGCCCAGGAGTGTCAATCAGGACATACCTGAAAGGAAAGGTGTGTCTTGAGCTTCTTGGCTCTCGGTTCCCTGGTACAAAGACCCAGAAGAAGCACGTACCTAGCTAGATCAGGGCTACAGCCCTCCAGGCAAGAGCCACCACCTGAAGGACAACAGAGTAACATGCTCCTCAAGTGGAGGAGCTTCTACCCAGACACCTATCACCCCCGGTCTCTGGGGCCAGGCACCCTTCTTCCCACATTCAGGCCCAGGCTGAGGGTCTTCTTGCTCCGTTGGTCTGTTCATTGGTTGAGCAAACAAATCTGGCTCTGGTTTGCTCCCTACATTCTAACCCAGTTGATATCATTAGTTAAGATCCCTCAGACTTCATCAGATTGTTCTTCTATCCATTTCTGGGTCTTTCCCAAGCAGCCTTGAGAGGAGAGAAGTGAGGTGGCAAATGTTTCTGATTAATGCCCAGCAAAAATAGAAATTGCCCTTTTCAAGGCAGCTCTGCCCAGAAGAAGAGCGGGGTGAGCATTCCTACTCCCAAGAGAGAAGTGTAAGAGATGTCTGCTAATGAAATGTGCTGCCTCAAAGCCCAGTGGCATCTCCTTCTCTAGAGTTTTCAAAGCAGAGGCTGGATGGCCCTCTGTTGGGAGGGCTTGTGTCTCCCTGCATGCCAGAATAGGAGAATAGGTTGGACTGGATCCCCCCCCCCCCCCCCCCCCCCCCCCCCCCCCCCCCGGATCTCTTCCAACTCTAGGATTCTAAGGGATCTCCCACCCATCGTCCCTTTCCATCCTAGCAGGACTTCCCATTTCCCACGGACTCACTGAGACGCAGCTTGTCGCTTTTCAATAAATGTCATCACCTGAGAAAAAGGAGAAAGAGAGAAGGCTCCGTCACTGGAGAAGCAGCCGTTATTTCATTGTGTGTTGTTAACGTTATTGCTTTGTTTTTTGAGTTATTTTGCTGTTGTTGCTGTTATTGTTTTTACTGTTGTATTTGAGCTTGGCCTCTTGTAAGCCGCACCGAGTCCTTCGGGAGATGGTAGCGGGGTACAAATAAATTATTATTATTATTATTTCAGCAAAGCCAGGATTCTCAGCAGTGTGACATGACTCCTTCAAAAGATGATGCAGAAGGCCCAAGACTCCCAAAGGAAATTAAGTCTCAGCGACAAGTGCAATCAACTCTCAGAGATGGCCAGAACAACAACAACAACAAAACAGAGGCACAACTCTGTGGCCCAAATGATTCACTAGAACTTATGTCACAAGGACCACCTGCCAGCAGGAAAGAACTGGTGAAATCATAAACCTACAAAGGTAGTAGAAAATGAACACACACAAATCCTGTGTGACTTTCGAATCCAGACTGGCAAAGTTTTGGAACACAATGCACCAGACATCACGATTGTGGAAAAGAAAAAAGTTTGGATTATTGATGTTGCCATACCAGGTGACGGTCGCCTTGAGGAAAAACAACAGGAAAAACTCAGCTGTTATCAGAACCTCAAAATCGAACTGCAAAGGCTCTGACGGCATAAACCAGTACAGGGTGGTCCCAGTGGTCATTGGCACACTGGGTGCTAGGCCAAAAGATCTCAGCCGGCATTTGGAAACCATAAACATCAACAAAATCCCGATCTGTCAACTGCAAAAGGCCACCTGGCTTGGATCTGCGCGCATCATTCATAAATACATCACACAGTCCTAGACGCTTGGGAAGAGTTTGACTTGGGATTTTGTGATACGAAATCCAGCAGAGAGATCTCGTTTGCTGAGACATACTGGGCTTTTGAGTCAGTAAAATAAAACATCCACTTAAGTGATCCAAGAATGAAAAAACAATACATGAACTTGAGATCATGGTAAAATCCCCAAGACTTAAAGCAAAACTTGACCAGGACATGACTTGCAGCAGTAACCAAGGCAAGGGTCTGGAGAACAGGCCCTATGAGGAGCGGTTTAAGGAGCTGGGCATGTTTAGCCTGAAGAAGAGAAGGCTGAGAGGAGATATGATAGCCATGTCTAAATATGTGAGAGGAAGCCACAGGGAGGAGGGAGCAAGCTTGTTTTCTGCTTCCTTGGAGACTAGGATGCGGAACAATGGCTTCAAACTACAAGAGAGGAGATTCCATCTGAACATGAGGAAGAACTTCCTGACTGTGAGAGCCGTTCAGCAGTGGAACTCTCTGCCCCAGGAGTGTGGTGGAGGCTCCTTCTTTGGAAGCTTTTAAACAGAGGCTGGATGGCCATCTGTCAGGGGTGCTTTGAATGCAATTTTCCTGCTTCTTGGCAGGGGGTTGGACTGGAAGGCCCATGAGGTCTCTTCCAACTTTATAATTCTATTATTCACATTCATTCCTTGCTTTAATTGCTAAGTTGCTTGATCTAAAAAGCGAAAGCAGTTTCCCCCTTAATAATAATAATAATAATAATAATAATAATAATAATAATAACCTTTATTTATATCCTGCCAGCATCTCCCCAATGGGGACTCGGGGTGGCTAACATGAGGCCAGGCCCAAAATTAAAACAAATACAAATATAACAAATAAAATACAAAAAAGCAAAATACCATCAAAATAAATACATAACATAGCGAAATGAAATAAACAGGTCCAAAATGGCATGAAAAGAAATAAGACACAGTGGGTGAGCCAGATATATTAAAAGTGAAGTTGATAAAATTTGATAAAAACCTTGGATGAGATGCGTAGAATATGTTTCTGAGGGAGAATGTGTTGGGGGGGGGGGGGGGGCTTGAAAGGACCTAATAAACAATTGGGTTAAACCTTCACTTAAGGCAGAGGGAGAAGGCATCATGAGGACAGGGCTATGGTGGGAACAGATTAAAGCTGGAATACATATTCATTCACCAAAGGCACATCGGAAAAGCCAGGTTTTCAGGTCTTTCTTACAAGCTGCCAGGGTGGGGGCTAGCCTAATCTCACTAGGCAGTGAGTTCAAGAGCTGGGGGGGCCACACCAGAGAAGGCCCTCTAGTAAGCCAGGAGAGCTTTTGCACAGTTAAAACTTGTGCGCCAGCTGCGCCCGTACCTTGGGAAGTCTGACTTGTCCGCGGTGGTCCACGCTCTGGTTACATCCCGAATAGATTACTGCAACGCTCTCTACATGGGATTGCCTCTGAAGACTGCCTGGAAGCTGCAATGAGTCCAGCGCTCGGCAGCCAGGCTACTGATGGGAGTGGGGTACAGGGAGTGCACAACTCCCTTGCTGCGCCAGCTCCACTGCCTGCCAATTAGCTTCCGAGCACAATTCAAAGTGCTGGTTTTAACCTATAAATCCCTATATGGTTCAAGCCCAGTTTACCTGTCTGAACATATTCTCCCCTATGAACCATCAAGGACGTTAAGATCTTCTGGAGAGGCCCTACTCTTGGTCCCACCACCTTCGCAAGCGCGTTTGGTGGAAACGAGAGACAGGGCCTTCTCGGTGGTGGCCCCTCGGCTATGGAGCACTCTCCCGAGCCAGATTAGATCCGCCCCCTCCCTCTTGTCCTTCAGGAGGCTGGTGAAATCCTGGTTATGGAACGAAGCATTCCCAGAATAATGGCTGAGACTGGTTACAGACCAAAGTGAGTGACCACATATGCGGACTGACCTGAACAAGATTTTACCTTGGCGATTTGGTATATATGTATTTTATCTATATGTATTTTAATCTTGTATTGTTGGATGATGTTTTAACTTGGATTAGTGGCATAGAATCCTTGCTGTCAGCCAGTCTGAGTCCCTCGATGGAGGTGAGAAGATCAGGATATAACATTTTTAATTAATTAATTAATTAATTAATTAATAAGCGCCACATACCTGATCAAATCTGGTGGCAAAGAGGTTGAGGGAAGTCACGATGCCTCCGTTTGGGCCCAGTCCATATCTGGAGCGTGTTCAGGAAAGCCCTGCTGCCATGCTGTGGGACCCCAGTGGGCCGTGGGGCTTCCCCAAAGGGCTCCTGGGCAGCCTCAGTGGCCCCGTCCCTCCCTGAAAAAGGCCCAGCGCACCCAATAAAGCCACATGCCAGGGGGCTCTCTGGGGGGCAACCAAGAGGCACTTCTCTCATTACAACCAGTGGAGACAGCCAGCTTCATGCTTCCGGAGAGAACAGCTGGGGGCTTCCAGGGGCCAAGGGCCATCATCCTGCCTGGTCAGCTACCCATCTTTGCAGGCTGGTTTCCATTTCACAAACTGGTGAAAAAGCACAAATGGGATGGAATAAACTCCCAGAGGAGAGGGGCTGCAAGTCATGGAGCTATTCCATTTACAAGGGAAAGATGAGGAAAGAAGAAATGCGATGGAATTATATACCACAGGGAGCAGTGCCTCCCCCTCCGACACAAAACTGGAATGCAAAGGGGGCACTGAGCCAAATGGCAGGCAACTCAGGAGCCCCTTCTTGCCTAGCGCTGGGATGAGGCCTCGACACTCAGTTGGGATTCCCTCAAAACAGTGATGGGCAGAAGCAGAGGACAGAGCTCTCAATATCATTGGCATTGATGAGTCAAAGGAAGAAAGATTCCACAGAAGTGCTTGACAGTGGAACAGGTGACCCAAGAAGAAGGCTTTACAAAGAAGCTGGGTGAGCACCTTTTGGGGTTTTTTAGCTGCGTCTTCCTGCCTGGCAGAAGGGAGATGGACTAGATGGTTCCTGTGGTCCCCCTGGCTTCCTCTCAAATCATCAGAAGCATCACACTTGAGGCTATGCCAAACGATAGCAAGAAATGCCATGTGCATTTGACGCAGGCGCCTATAAACTCATGAAGGCACCCAAAGGCAGCTGGGGCTTCCAGGGGCCAAGGGCCATCATCCTGCCTGGTCAGCTACCCATCTTTGCAGGCTGGAACACATTCCTGAGCAATGGGGCCCTCCTGCCCCCCCCCCCAGCTGGCCCTTGGGAAAAACTGCCCACTGCAGCCAGAGCCCTCCTTCCACGACTCCCCTCAGCCCCTCCCTTCCCAATAAGGTGTCAGGAGTCAATTTCTGACGGCATGAAGACATCACAAATTCCCTCCGTGACATCCCGACTGAATCATCCTGGCTGCCTCAATTCTCTCTCTGTGACATTTTGAAGCCTGAAGAGGATGCTGGAAACCTTGTATGGGAACTTGTGAAGCAACAAGTTCTAATAAGGACACTGAGAAGAGGAGGGAGGTGGGTAGGAAAGGTGTTTTAGAAGTGGTGGTGGGAAAAAGTCAGTCGTGTCTTTCTTGGCTGCAGAGATACAAGCAATATATCCATTTCAAAGCAAAACCGGCTTGTGAGTGGTCATTTAATATTGCTATATAGATCCTACAGTCTTACATAAGGGCTGCATGTTGCCATGGCAACCGACACCCCCCCCCCCAAGGGCCCCAGAATCGGGCACTCAGACAAGGATACTGCTTCATGACTTCTTTGTACTTCACTGTGTCCCGGATATCTTTTGAAAAAAGAAGATAGAGAGGAGACATAAACGCAAGGCATTTTCTACAGTCACACAACCCTCAACACAAGTCCCATAAGTTTGTAACAGTCCAGACAGACAGTGTTTTTGCACCACTTATCTGTGAAAACACAAAAGACGTTGTTCCCAAGAGAGGCCCCAACTCTCTTCTTCCAGAGGCGAGGGCTCTTCCCTCTTTGACTGTGCTCACCAATGTTGGCCGGGAAGGGTAGCGTGTGGACGGCAGGGTCCAGGTTGATGATGTAGGGCGGGCGGTGCTTCCCCTGCAGGTGGGCCGCCAGGCGCTGAAGGGGAGGGAGAAAGGGGGAGAAGCGTCAGTATTGAGAGGCACAGGAC